AGCATCTCCGTGGTCGCCTCTGGGCGGACCCTGCCTGGCCCGCCCTCGCTGCTGACATCACTGCGACCACCTGTGGGTGGTCCCTGCTCGCCACCCCCATGGCCCCGCTGCCACCACCGCGGCCTGCGGGCGGTCGCCGTGCCCCCCCAGCCTCAGGAGGCACGAGGTGTTCGTGCTCCAGCACTTAAGGTCTAGGAAGCTCTGATCCGGAGGTTGTGCCCCTCACTCCCATGCTCTATAGCTACGGATGCCCCTTTCCGCCAAGACTTGTCCAGTCTCTTTTTGAATCTGGCTAACCCGTCAGCTCCCACCACATCTGGTGGCCGCAAGCTCCACACTTCAGCGACACACTGCGCAAAAAATAGCTTCCTTGTGTTCGTGTTAAATGAAAACCTACTCGTCTCACCGTGTGACCCCTAGTCATTTTATGGTGAGAGAGTCAATAAGAAGCCCCTATTGACTCTCGCATCACCGTTTGGTATTCTGTACGCCCTTCTCCTGCCCGCCCCTCAAGCCTCTCTTTTCTGAACCGAGCAGGCCTGGCCCCTGCAGTCTCTCCTCATAGGAAAGCCCCTCCATGCCGCTCCTCATCCTTCCCGCCCTTCTCCCCACCTTCTCCAGTTCTCCTCTGCCCTTTCTGAGGTGGGGGACCAGACTCAGGGTGTGGACGCACCATGGACATATAAAAGGGCATCGTGATCCTTTCCGTTTTGTTTGCAATTCCCTTCTTAATGATCCCTAACTTTTTGAAAGCCTTAGGCGGCTTTCATGGGCTGCTCCCCGAAGCTCCCTGCGGGACTCCCCTAGCTAATCTCTGGTCCCTGGACCAGCAGTCCCAGGCAGCCGTGGCCACCGGCCAGTGCAAGGAGCCAGGGGCACGGCTGCCCGCGGCTGCCCCCAGCTCTGCTCGGTCCTGCGGGACTCGCTGGGGCACACCCCGGGGCTCTGCGTGCAGCGGGCCTGGGGTGGCTCTGGGCATGGGAGGGAGCAGACATCTGCAGGGGGATGCGGCGGGGCAAGGGTTAACAAGCGCCTTCCTGGCAGAAGCTGCCCGTAACCTCACTAAAGATGGCGGCTCCCTGATGGGCCTCGCAAGGGCTCTGAAGTCGAGCCGGTGTCCCGGATGTTGCCCGTTCGAATCATGGGCGGAACAACCCCGCCCTCCCCTCGCCCCGGATGTTGTAGGGCTGCCCTCACTAAAAATGGCCACTCCCCGCCACCCTTTCCTATAGGAGTGAGGCCGGGGAGCCCCTGCGTCTTTCCGCCCGGCTGTCGGCGGGGCCGTGAGAAGATGG